GGCTTGCTGTTTCCACCACAACATTTGTATTGAGTGGCATAGTTCTTGGAACCTGAGTGTGGTGACAGAACTAGAGGTATGACAGCTGCCTAACCCAGAGCTCCAAAGCTGGTGGCATGGCAAAGGATGAGCTGATTTCTTCACACATAGACATTGATTCTACACAGCTCATATTATACATTGACAAAAACCAACAACTTTCTGACCAAGCTTCATTGAATCTAATCGAGAACTTTTCGTTTGACATTCAAACAATGTATTCTCTCTATCTCTTGTTCCAGTCTCTTTAGGACTTTATTCAGGAGTACACTACATAACAACAAATAATCTTATATACGTTTTTCAAATTTTATTGATAAAATGATTAAAATTAAGGTTAAAAGACCATGAACATCCAAAAATTACAGCTACAGAGAATATTTGCACATATAAATTAGTGCATAATAACTCAAAATATATCAAACTGCATAGATAATCCAGGGACAACACCCGACGCATTTTGAAGTCATGTTCTTTCTCAGAGGTGCTTTCTATGCATTCAATATATGCTACAATTCAAAAATACATCTCATTTTAATCAGAACATATCATAATGTGTATACATCATATTTATATAAGAGTTGTTACTGACCTTAATCAGCATTACAAATAGATGCAGTATATAGCTGGGTGGGAGAACACTGACATTGTTTTTAATTCTGTTCATACTAGCGGCTATATATCTCTTTGCAATGTATGCATTTGATTATTCTAATTCATGAGCCATCAAATCAATCATAAGATCAGCCAGTCGGAATTTTCTACAGTTTCCATTGTGTTTAGTCAGACATGGTTTTAAGAACCTGAAAACAATATTATCACAGGCCCAACTGGTCAGGAAGTTTATCAGAACGAAGACCTAGTTAGCATATGATGGAGGTATCTTTACATATCAGCTACAGAAATACTTGCAAATATTTGCAGTATATATTTCTATGTACACCCTAAATGTACTATATTTTCAAACCTACCTCCAATTATACCAATACCCCATAACATATTAAAGGCAATTTTTTTTTCAATTTGGATAAGGAGCGATATAACCCCTGTCAATGTTTTTTGCTATTTCTCATTGAAGAGATTTCCCTTCATTTCCTATCCCATAGCAAAACAAAAAGTGAGATTAAATTCCTCAAAAGTGATGGAATGTTGTCATTAGGGTCACCAGAATTAGTTTCTCCATTGGAAGACAGGTGTTCTAATCCCTCTCCACTCTGTCAAAAAATGTTTAAAACATTTTGCCTTAACCTCCCTGGAGGTATTCCCGAGTGTAGCTCGGGGTAAAGTTTCAGCACCACAAGCGGTAACCCCGAGCTACACTCAGGAATACCTTGCAGTGTTGCTCCGGGATCTCTTCTTCACTTATCTTGTCCTGCGCTCCCATGATGTCCCCTCTGCAGTGTCCCCGGAAATGTCCTCCGGCTGATGCTGGCATCTGTCTTCTGGGTTCCGTTCCCTGTAACGTCAGGACGTACGGGGACGGAATGGCGGGAAATTAAAAAATGTGAAAAAGTGACATTCACAAAATACACTAAAATCACATAGTAAAACATTACTGTATCAAACCATTTCACATACATTTTGTCCCTAGTGCTTTGTCCTGTGCCCTGCCTGCATTTTTACCGTTCTTTCTGCCTGGAAGCTGAGAAAAGTCCATGGCATCCAAAAAGTGTCCCTTTAGGTCAAAAGCGTTTTTAGACCAGCTGGAGAACAGCGATAGTAAATTAGAACTACTTGCAGAATTGAGTGATAACGATTCGTGGGGAAATTCGTCATCAGACACTGAAAACGATTTTGCGACTTTGCTCAGTGATGTGCGCACTTAGTGCTATATTTCAAATTTCAGCGTTTTTGGTTTGATTATATTATTGAATTAAATTTATTATTATTATATTATTATTTTTTATAAATATTTATTAAATTATAATTTATGATTTCGTGTTTCAAATTTTAACATACCTGGGATGTTTACTAGACTCTTGGTCGGACAGATTTCAGTGAGTTATTCCTAAAAATTACAGGCCTATAATAAAAAAATTACATATTTCCATGCAAAAAAATGTACCACTTTGAGCACAGAAATACTGACATAATCAGACCTCTAGGGAGGCTACGTTAGATTTTAATTTACAGTATACTATGTAATCAAATCTTCTTCATGGCATGTACCCTGAATAGCTGGTTAGCACAGTCTTGAAGCTGGGCATCACAGCTTTGGTAATGCTTTTGGTTCCTGGAGGAATTCATTTTGTGATCCTCCACCTAGTGTGTTTGGCAAAAATAGATTTATTGTAGTTGCAAGGCAATAAATTGCATCAAAGACTTGCAAAAGCACCCTGGCATGCTAGAGGTAGCTTGGAAGGAGAGCAGTTAATTTGCTACCCCTTTTCTCTATGTTGGCATTGCATAATGGGTATGGGAAGTTCCAGTGGTATCCAAATGCATCTTTGGGGCAAACTTTTGACAAGAAACAGGTTAGGTTTTTTTTGTAATTTGTGTGGGTGGTGTGTATTTATTTTTTTCTATGTATTGCAATATTTAATATTGGTTATGGCATTTCTGCTTTAAGAGCTTTAACGGTTTAATTAAGTAGTGTGGCTTCCTCGGCAGAATTGGCATTTCTTTATCCCAAACAATAGTAAATACATACAAAACCTGCCCAGGGGACTTTGTTAAGAAACAGCAAATAAAAATGTACAATAAAATTCATGAACTTTATTACAGGAATAAAAAAATACAAGTCCATCAAAAAACTGTATCCACATCTAAAATTAAGTGTTCTTGTTACAAAAGCAGGCTGTAGATGGTTGAACTACATCATTGGTACATTCATATTAGTAGTTTCTCAACGTGTTTAGTGAATCTCTATTTGCTTCATCAGAAGCATTGCTGACTACATACAGTTTAACACTGCAAAAAATAATTCACATAATTATAATTATGAAAATATCGGAGAACAATTATACTGTCACCACTCAAGTCCATTGCAAACTATCCAAAAATACAAGCTATGTACCACTGTAAATACACCATACTTACCCACCAAGCCACAAAGAAGAGGGATGGTAGTCATCAACTGTTACTGAATGTTTAGGCCAAGAAGAAGACCTGCCACAGAATATGTCTGTCCCAGAAGCTTGGATTGGATGGATTATGTAATGTGGAAGTCTCAGTCTTAAGGGGACACTGTACCTGTATATGCAAATGTGCTTAGGTGGTGCACTACTTTTATTGCACTTTACTTTTGAGTGTGATTTATTTTTTGCTTTTAATAGAGTATGGTGGTTTTTTATGGTATTACACTGTTTGAGTCTTTTTTTTGAATGGAGGAGCCCTGGAGGTTGTTTAACACTGGAGAGCCAATATCCAAGAGTCATTGAGGGAGAGCAGCGGTGCGTTTGGAGTTAACTCCATAAAGGGGAATGCGCATCTGATCTATTTTTAAACAAACAGGTCCAATCATTAAGGTAAGAACGGAGCAGGAATGGTGGTAGGGCCCTCTGCACTGTTCTATTCAGTTTATGGATGCATGAAGATTGCACTACGGCACTAAGCTGAAACACATTAAAAGGACTTTACTATTGGATATTGTGATTTTTGCTCACTTGAAATCCATACAATATTATTCATTCATACATTTTTGTGGCTTACTGTGTAATTGCTTTGTAAGTCACTGATTATATACTCAGAAGGTTTTTGGTCTTTATTGACAGTCATTTACTTGTTTATAATTCATATTTTTATGAGCTGTCACATGTTTTGTTGATAAATGTAGAGTGAATATTATGCTAATAAGAAGGTTTTTTGGATTTTATTTACAGTAATTTATTGGTCGCAATTCATGTTTCTGCACACCAACATGAGCTGACACATGCGATGTTGTGGATTTAGAGTAAATATTGAGTTGCACAACACTTTTTTCATTTTTTTTAAACTATCTGCAGTCTGGTTTTGTAACAAAAAACACTTAATTATGGATGTGTATACAGTTTTTAGACGGGCTTGTATTTGTAATAAAATTTGTGAATTTTATTGCACAATTTAATTGGTGTTTCGTGACAGTCCCCTGGGCACGTTTTGTATGTATTTACCAATTAACACGCTGTCTGCACTGCTGAGACACACAGTGGGCTTACAATAAATTCACAGATATGTGTATTTTGATCATTCTTTTGTTTGTGTTTATTTCTTAGTGGTGTTCCTCTGCATTATTGTACATGTTCCCTGGTCATTGTTATGCATTGATTAATGTAGATTCACTCTGAAAAACAAAGTGCTGGGCATTCACTGTCAAATCTGATTGTATAACCTTAGTACATTTACATTTAGATTTACAAAAACTATGTAGTTCATTGCATTGGAAATCAAGCAGGCCTTCACACATGGTTAGTGTTGGATGTAAATAGTATTGCACAATCATATTGAATAGTGTATAGTCCCCTAAAGCCTAGTTTCACAAAGCTTGTTAACATACACTATACTGCCTTTACATGCACATGAACATAGAGTTCAATATTGAGTTGGCTCACCCTTTGCAGCTATAACAGATTCAACTCTTCTGGGAAGGCTGTCCACAAGGTTTAGAAGTGTATCTATGGGAATGTTTGACCATTCTTCCAGAAGTGCATTTGTGAGGTCAGGCAATGATGTCGGATGAGAAGGCTGGGCTTGCAGTCTATGCTCTAATTCATCCCAAAGGTGTTCTTTTGGGTTGAGGTCAGGACCCTGTGCAGGCCCGTCAAGTTCCTCCACCCCAAACTTGCTCCTCCATGTCTTTATGGACCTTGCTTTTTGCACTGGTGCTTAGTTTTAGATCCCCAAACTCTTCCCACAAAGATGGGAGGATGAAAGTGTCCAAAATGTCTTGGTATGCTGATGCCTCAAGAGTTCCCTTCACTGGAACTAAAGGGCCAATCCCAACCCCTGAAAAATGACCTCACACCATAATCCCCCCCTCCACCAAAGTTTACACTTGGCACAATGCAGTCAGGCAAGTACCGTTCTTCTGGCAACCGCTAAACCCAGACACGTCCATTGGATTGCCAGACAGGGAAGCTTGATTTGTCACTCCAGAGAACATGTCTCCTATGCTCTAGAGTCCAGTGGCGGCTTGCTTTACACCACTGCATCCAATGCTTTGCATTGCAATGGTGATGTAAGGCTTGGATGCAGCTGCTTGGCCATAGAAACCCATTCCATGAAGCTCTCTATGCACTGTTGTTGTGCTAATCTGAAGGCCACATGAAGTTTAGTTATTGACTCTGCAGACAGTTGGTGACTTCTGTGCACTATGCGCTTCAGCACGCTCTGACCCCACACTGTCATTTTACGTGGCCTACCACTTCGTGGCTGAGTTGCTGCTGTTCCCAGTTGTTTCCATTTTGTTATAATACCACTAACAGTTGACCATGAAATATTTAGTAGCAAGGAAATTTCACGGATGGACTTATTGCACAGGTGGCAACCTATCAAGGTACCATTCTTTTCACTGAGGTCCTGAGAGTGACCCATTCTTTCACAAATGTTTGTAGAAGCAGTCTGCATGCCTAGGTGCTTGATTTTATACACCTGTGGCCATGGAGGTGATTGGAATCTGAATCCAATGATTTGGAGGGGTGTCCCAATACTTTTGGCAATATAGTGTAAGCAGAGTGTGCTAGGAATGATGCACTAAATTGCTAAAGAACAGTTTATACTAGCTAGACTATTTCATTTCTCTTATTCAGCACTCTGGGCAATCAAGCTGTGTGGTGCCATGGGGCCATGTACATGTCCATAAAATGAAAATAATTAAGAATCACTTATCAAGCAGAGGGCCTATTCATACAAGTTCCAGGCCCAAAGTTGAAAGAACACTAATAATTCAAACGAAAAGCTTTGGAAAGGTAAAAAATGCATGTGCTATAACAAAACAGGACAGTAAAGTCCTCTAAAAATGACATTTTACTTAAAAATATACCAGAAAACCATACAAGGTACACAATGTAATACTAATAAAAAACCCTTATCAATGCCTAAAGCCTGGATGGGCAGCCAGTGTGCACCAATGGTAGGAGGGAATTATCTAAATCTGGAGGCCACCTTTAACCTTGGGAGGGGGTAGTGGTGATGTGAAAACTCCACATACCTAGAGATACACGGAACATAAGTACCCCAGGAAACTGGGCATTTTTCTGCTGTTAAACATAAGTAGGGTTATTATTCTGCTGATTGGGTTAAATGAGTAAATAGAGGGTAATTTGAACACAGACGTACTGAGAGATGGAATAGAGTTGCTAATCAATTACAAGACCAATCACGTGATCAGCAAATTATCTGAAAAATTCTAAACCAATCCCAAAGCATGTTTTACTCAATCCATGAGAGGACAAATAGTTTTGAAAGTGAATTAGCCATCATTCTACCCAATGAGAATGATTTGTCATGGTAAGACATGTACTAATGTTTGGCACATAATATTTTGGAATTGGTGCAAAATTTTGTGTAATATTTATATTCATAAGTGTTTTATTGGCATTAACATTTCACTGATAAATACAAACATTTTAACAAATATTATGGGCTTTTCATATTTATCAATAGGTTGCTGCTCAATTTGAGTGTATCCAGGTTCAGGATTTGTCATTCTGCAATTCAGGGATGTTTGCTGCACAGACTGAGATTTCCTTTCTTCCCCTCTAGTGTTCAGAGTAAACACATCATTTCGTGCTGAGAGTGGGAAGTGTGTCTGGAAAGCAGAAGATCTTGGGACTTATAGTCACACAGCCTAGTTACACTGTATTCCTCAGCATTACCTGGACTACAAATAACAGAAGGAAGGAGAATAAAGGGGATTCTTGGTGTCTCTGCTGGAGCCATGCTAGTTCTCTTGGCGTGGGGATTTGGAGACTGACAGAGAAGAGTGTGACGTTTCCCCAGGAGTTCCAGACCATGGCTCCACCAGTGAACCCTGCTCAGCGGCATAGTACCACACAGCAGCATGGGGCGACCCTCAGCATTCCAGGGGCAGTGCCACCATTTGGAGATTGGGCTGGCCACCACTGGGCATCTTACAGACAGGTATTATCTGTTAATTTCCTTCATCCGGTTTGTTGCTATTGTACAGTGAGAAATCTGTGCCCCATCATAAGCAGGCTGGAATTGAGGAATATACTCACCTCTAGGACTCCTCTAATCAACGGGACACCATCTACAGGGTGGCCATTGACTGTGTATTAGTACTGCTAAATTATTACTTGGTCATTTATAGGGGAACTCCTACCCAGATTTAGTGTATTGTGTTGTTATTTTGCCTGTGGCATCAGGACTTAGAGGGAGCTACCTGACCAAGGGTCTCCTTTTTTCTCTCTTGCTCCTGGGATCATAGACCTACTGGAGGTTTGTCAGTTTAACAATAAGGTTTACAGTATTGCTGTCTCATTGCATATTGCTATAATTCTGTTTAAAGCTAAGCTTTGCAACGTGGGGAAATATTCACAGTTTATGATCTGTTTCTCTGCTCTGCTAACCTAATACTCTCTTACTAGAGCACACCAACAAAAAGATTAATATTACTAGATAGTGCTTTACTAAGCATTATCTAGTAATATTAATATTTTTGTTGGTGTGCTTTACATTTGTCCTTTACATTTGTATTTTCAGTTATTGTATCTAACCAGGTGTGCCAGAGGGGTTTTTCTTGGGGTTGAGGCATAAAACGAGGGACCCAAAATATTCACATGGGTCCTGCAGGGGTAGAGCTACATGGGCATAATTCTGAGCTGCGCCATTGGATAAGTCAATGTTACATCTGTTATTGAAGCTGTTGCATCAATATGGTAGTAAATCAGGACCTGTGTTTCAACTGTATTTAAAGTGTCACTAAACACACAGCAGTAAAATCAGTCTGTATAAAAAGCATGCTTGTTATACTCACTGTGGAACCTAAGGGGTTAATTCTCTGCATTATGTAAAAGGCCCATATGATCCTGTCTTCCCTGCTCCTTGTCTTGTTCAAATGTCCACATCTTACCTCCTGATAAGACAGGCTGAACCCATAGCCATTCTGCACATGCTCAGTTTAGCGTTTATTGCTAGAGAGGTTTTTTTTTTTTCTTGGGAGAGTGTATGTGATCAGCACAGGGCCAATCAGCACTGTCCAGACAGAAATCAGGGGTCTTGCTTCCTCCTAGAGCAGAAAGAAAACTCCTCCTACAAGCTTTAATCAGTGTTCTGCTGAACACTGATAGAAGTCACAAGACTACTCTAAGCACTGATGAGAAAAGGTATTTAGCAGTTTATATTTACTAAAATAATTGCATTTCCATGTTCTGTGTGAAACCAGATATAGTGAATGCAGGGTCCTGGGTTTAGTAACACTTTAAGGGAAAAATAAATTGATTGCATTTCCTGCTTTCCTTATTAAAGATGATAATGACCCTCCTGACCCATCCCAAAACTTTTTCTGTATAATATTTTATCCATATCAGTCCCAAACAGCAATAGGATACTGAGTTAGACCTATAAAATGTTCTATTTCACTCCCTTATATAAAGTGGGGAAGAAACAAACATTAGGTGGTACTCAACTTCAAGCATGAGTAGTGGGAACAGGCTTTCTTGGTTACAACTACTTGGCAGTCCATCGGGAAGTTCAGGTTAGGAACTTGTGTGAGGTCCCCCAATTGGAGAGTGGTGTGCCACACACTATTGGTAACTTGAATACAGTGAGGGGAAATGGAGCATCTGATCTGTTAGTGGAAACCTTCCTTGCCCCCATGTGTTTTATTTGTATCTTCATGTTCATCAGGTGCAAGAAGGCAGAGCAGTACCATATTTTGCACATTCCAATTAGGATGTCTAGAGTAGCTATTTTCATTTAAATGATATTTAGATGTACATGTACTGATGCTTTCCTTGTTTCTGTGCTTGCTTTATAAATATATATTCATGGAGGGGGCAGTATAGCATTTGCTGAACATGTGCTGATCTTTGTACCTCAGTGCATGTTTTCCAGACAGAGTCTTTTTGTTTGGAATAAATAGACTTTCTGTTATCTTTGATGACATAAAACATGTACAATTCCTGATAATGTTTTCTGATGACTGTAGACCTCATGATCTTTTGCCTAGGTTATATGTCATATGAGAAAGTTGTATTTTTGGCAAGCAAGAAGTACGTTTTTGCTCAAAATCATAATGTAAGCTGGTGAAGTGGATATGTTCATAGTGATATTCTGAATTAAATTTTTTTTTTTAAAGATCCACTTTAAAGTAGAATAGTTTTTTTCTAAAAATCTAAGCTTTCAACCCTTCCTCAATGTATTAAGAAAAAGTACTTTTGTTGCTCTTTGTGTCCCAGTTAGAGAGAGATTCTCCTCACTGGCTTTGACCACAGAAAAAGTCAGGTGTGAAAGTAACTTTGCTAGACACAGAATTAGAAAATCATATGAAAAATACTGATTTCAAAGCGATCGTATGATAATCTGATCTTTAGTACACAGCTTTCAACCAAAGCTATTCGAAGGCGAAGCACGAAAATGTTTCTCGTACGATACGGTACAATTTTCGTTTAATCAGTGCAGTTTTAGTCTGAAAATACAATACAAATACATTTCAATACATTACATCACTTACGAATTTTTATTCTGTTGTAAAAGAATTTTCGTAACTTTAGTAACCTCTTCATTTTTGATAAGAGACTAGCATGCAAAAAAACATGGACGATCATTCAGCCAATATGTTCATTGTGTGTACGGGGCTTTAATAGGATTGTACAGTGTAACAATAGTATTTGAGGTTCAGTTCTCCTAGTCTACCATGTACATATTGCTTGGTTAAGATATTAAGAATTAATTAACATTAACTTTTAAAATTATTCATATCTTGTTAAATTCAGCTAGACTGTCAGGAGAAGAGTTGTACCACTTAAGACAAAATGTTGATTAGGAGATCATATAAAAGAGCAATCTGAATGCTTGAAATTAGGCATAATAACTCAATCACAATGAAAACATAATTTAAATAAAAATAATAATAATTGGATTGTTTTAACCCCTTCCCACCTCCCGGGTCTTTAAGAATTCTAAATGTCGGGAGGTGGAGGCAGGCATTCTGGTCATGTGATTGCTGTGATTGGCTGTCACAGCAGTCACATGATGAGAAAGCTCCTGAAGTATGCATCGGGAGCTTACTGATCCCCTCCGGCTACTGTGCTGGAAGCATGCAGGAGGTGCGCTCTCAGCACAGTAAGTTGTTTACACAGGACCGCACATGCTCACCCACTGAGCAGCTGCATACATGTATACGGTTGGTGGAAAGTGGTTAACATGCTCATAACCTTTCAATATTAGACTTTATTTTTATAGAGTATAAATACTACTAATTTCAAAGGGTCACCTGGTTGATATCACTGGGTGATGTCCCTTAGATTTTTAAGAGCTGTCAGGGCGGCGCAGCTGACAGATGATGGGAGCGGATCTTTTTTCTTTCTTTCTTTTTTTGGTTGGCATCGTGATTGACACTGGATCTACTTCAGAGGACATTTTTTACATTTTATTTTTGTGAATGAGTAGCTGTACCA